CTCTGTGGATCCAGAAGTCCTAATCCCGAAGAAGAATTCTTCCACTTGGGAATACAATGAAAATCCCATTAAGTATATGGCTATGACTGCTGCCCAGTCATGTTGGGGTCCTCACACCAAGAGCAAAAGGGAAGGCCAGGGGTCACCACTGTAGCAAGGGAAATTGGTCCTGATCCGCAGGATGAGTTAGGACCGTTGCTTCATCACAGGAGCAAGAAGACATATGTTTGGCATTCAGGGCATGCACTAAGACGTCTCCTGATATTGCCTTGTCCAGTGTAACTCAAATACAGCAACCATAACTGGTAAGGGTATGTTAACCAGGGCATTAGACCCCTCAGGGATTGAGGACTGGATCAACCCACAAGGCAAGTTAACAGAAGTGAGGGGACTCGAGAACGGGTGGGAAGGAGGGACCAGCCAGAGCAAAGAGAGCTAGTGCATCCCACCAACTCTTCTCCTGAAGGTTCCTCAGGAATTATGACCACAGGGTCTTGGAGAAGCTGGACCTGGATGGAGTGAACTGAATGTGAGAAGCAAGTGGATCTGTATGGTGCAATAAGTGCACAGCCCAGGTCCCTTTTCTCAAGCCAGCACACTTCTACAGCTGCTAATCGCTTGCAGCTGCTCACTTCTTAGGAGAACTGCCCACCACTACATGGCCTCCATTATAAACCTCCATCCCTGCTGGGGTACCCACAGTCAATGACTGACTGATGCAGAGACATAAAAGATTGGTTCCTTTGCTCAAAGGGACAACCCAGTGCCAGTTATGCCTCAGAGCTTTCCACTGTGACCTGGCCCCTGTGCGTTACCTGAGATCACATCTCTGCTTCATTTTCTCCTTTCCTATCCTGCTTTACTCCCTCTCTCCCAATTTTTCCAGGAAGAGCTCTCCTCAATAAATCACATCCAGACACACACATCCCAATGTTCACTGCAGCACTATTTACAATAGCCAGGTCATGGAAGCAAGCTAAATGTCCATCAACAGAGGAATGGATAAAGAAGATGTGATACATATATACAATGGAATATTACTTAGCCATGAAAAGGAACGAAAGTGGGTCATTTGTAGAGACGTGGATGGACCTAGAGACTGTCATACCGAGTGAAGTAAGTCATAAGGAGAAAAACAAATATCATATATTAACACACTTATGTAGAATCTAGAAAAATGGTATAGATGATCTTATTTGCAAAGCAGAAATAGAGACACAGACGTAGAGTACAAACGTATGGATACCAAGGGGGAAGGGGTGGTGGTGGCATGAATTGGGATTGACATATACACATTATTGATGCTATGTATAAAATAGATAACTAACCTACTGTAAAGCACAGGGAATTCTACTCTATGCTATGTGGTGACCTAAATGGGAAGGAAATCTAAAAAAGAGGGGATATATATATACGTACAGCTGATTCACTTCACTGTATAGTATAAACTAACACAACATTGTAAAGCAACTATACTCCCATAAAAATTAATTCAAAGGAAAAACCAAAAGCTGGCACAGGAACGGGTCCAGGGAGCTCCAGTAAGAGTACAGAGTGTGGCTGGAGTGGGGTGAGGCAGGCAGTGAAGGTCAGAGATGAAGTCAGATTTCTCAAAGTCCTACAGATCATGTAGGACCTTGAAGGCCATTGAAAGGACACTGGCTTTCACTCTGAGTGAGGTGGGAAACTGGGTGAGGGGCAGGCCTTAGTGGTGAGCAGGGGAGAGATGCTATCTGTTTTAATAGAATCACCCTGACTGCAACCATGGGAGCAAGCTGCCTGAGGTTGTGCAGGCAGAAAGTAAATGATGTCACGGCAATTGGAATCCAGGATCACCTGATCTCAGAGCCTGGTCTCACAGACTAGCCTTTGTCTATGGAGCAGACAGTGCACGGCTGGTACATACATTCAATACACAACCGCTGAATGCTGAAGATGGACACAATACAGGGATTGGTACCATCACTTTAAAGGGGAGATATGAACACCTAAAAGGAGACCAGACTCTCGCTCAGTCTCCCTTGGGGAAAGCCTTCCATACTATAACTAATTAGGATAAAAGCGCATGCTTGCCTGAAGATCCAGAGGTTGCTGGCTACTTTGCAGCCCAAGTAAGTCCCTAAGCCTAAGTGAGTGGTTAAATTTCAAGACAGCAAGTGGGAAGAGCGGACAGTTGATTAGAGTGCAGCATGGTGTAATGATTAAGAATGGTGGGCAGAAATGTCTGGTCTGAAACCCAGCTCTGCCACTTATAAGCTGTGGGCAATTTACTTAAACTCTCTGTGCCTCAGTTTTCTCATCTGTAAAACCGTGATTATAATCAGCCCTACCTCACAGGATTGTTAATAGAATTAAATAATTTTACGGTACCTGGAACATACTAAGTGTTTATTATTATCATTTATTACACATAAGCAATTAGAGGGTACTCATATTATCATCTAAGTTGAAAAAAATCTGTATATCAGTTTTTGGACATGAATTTCCAAATGCAATGCTGTCTATCTGTTCCAATACTGGACGATAAGTGAATGCATCATCTTTCTTCCTACATTTGAAAAATATTATTGTACCTTTAGCTGATGAATTGTTCAGCTGCTTCTTATCAATGACTGTCTTTAGAAAGATTAATAATGCCTGGCTCTAATCAGCCCCATGTGCAAACTTCAGATGCTTTCCTGTGCATCTGCCACTCCCCTGAACAAGAGGAACACTCCGTGATCAAAAAACATCTATAAATGCCATCTAGATGATGATCTCAGCCTTAAACATTATTAGACGTTTATGATTTATACTGATTGCTAAGTTAGAAAGTCGGAATTTCTAACTTCCCAATATTCCTGCCCCTTACAAAACAGAAAACAGTTCTTTAAGGTCTTTTTATTTTTTTTTCCACATTGGATTCTGTCAACTGGTTTTATGTAAAAATCAATGAAGGGAGGGAAAGTCCATTACATGCCAGGCTCTGGGCAAGGCACTTTATATATAATTATCTTATAGACTTGAGGTTAACACCAAGTGCGTGGCAGAGCTGTTTTGTTGGAGGAGCCCTAATTCTGGAGCGTTGCTCAAAGACCACTAGAGCTGAGGATCCGTCAACTTAGATCGACGGCCAATTAATGCCTTTTTTTTCCCCTTCCTTTGCCAATCGTGTCTCTCTAGGGATCAGTGAAAGAAGAGGTGCGAGTTTGGCTTTATTTATTCTAAAAACATTCATTCTACAATTATGACAACAATGATAGTATCTAGCATTCATTTAGTGTATTCTCTGTCTCCAGAACTGGGCTAGCTGCTTTTTTATTGTTCCATGATGCAGTTCTGAGGAAACTCTTCAGAGTCCTAGACATATAACTTAATTTGGGGTTGAGGTCACACAACTTGGAAATTACTAATTTTGTTATATCCCTAAGTAAACCAATCTGGTAAACAAAAGGATCTTCAAGTTTGCGATCATCCAATCAAACACAGTAAAACCAGCATTTAGGATAAGTCCCTTACTGAAAAAAGTGATTAAATTTTAAAAGACAAAGTTGTAGAAGAACACTCCTAAGTACTTTTGGTTGAGTATTTTATAAACTAAGGCACAGAGTTTGGCGATTGTAATGGTGACTAGTCCAAAGTCGTGGTTTTTATTCCTGACTTTGTCAGATTCCTTTGTCATCACTTGAATATGCCAATTAAGCCACTGTGCCTTCCTTTTGCATTTTTAATCAAATGAACACCACCAGACGACGTTACCTGGGAGTGCTCAATGGAAGGATAAAACACTCTTAAAAGAATAGGTTATTGTAATCATTTCCTATGTTTGGCTGGTTTATCCTGCTGTCACTGAGGTAGGTTTTCATCTATACATGATAATTCAGTGTAGTTCTGATGGAAAGTTTTTTGTTTTTAATTACCAAAATAATAAGGTGCCCAACCCAATTCTCCTGCTAAGCTCATCAAGAGTGATACAATGGAAAATTTAATACTGACAGGAGGCCCTGTGTTATAAAATACAAGAAGTGGAATGAATCTCAGTGTGCCTAGAAATAGTCCTTCAAATGCTAGTTTTTAAATTTAACAGAAAACATAGATAGAAAAGTTAAAAGGAGATGCTAGGTGGCATTTTTCACTTACCAGGATTAGAAATAATCATAAAAAACCTATCAAGGATATTTTCACATTTATTTATGTCAGAGAGATTAAAGGAGTCATTTTACCTTGCACATAAGGACTGCTTATTAATTCATCTGTAAGACCTAGGAAGGCATTTACTATGTCTACTTTTAAAAATCACAAATTAAAATATCACATCATTTCATTCATTTATGGCAAACTCTCTTCCAATGGTAATATATTTTACTTTTTAAAAAAAGATTTATTTTTTGGTTTGGACAAAAACATTCAATTCAATGATAGTACTTAACACTTTCCCACTTAATCATGTAAGATTTTCTGCTTTAAATACTAATTTTTAAAGTTACTTTCTTCACACCATTGTGTAATTATCTTTCTCTTTGAAAACTACCCAATCAAGAACCACTTTATATAGTTTATATTACAAGCTACACAATTTGCAAATACCTAATTTTCATTTATAGTGAAAAATGAAGTGAAAACTTCTTAAAAATTTTTTCAGCTCAGAGCATAACCATATAAAGTGGTTCCTGATTTTGTTATTAGTATTGAATTAACATGAAACATTATCTCCCTAAATCTTTTCTAATTCAATGCCAAACACACAATAATGCAATATTACCATCTCCAATAAGTGCTAATCCTACTGTATAAGCAGAATGTTTGTCTCGATGTTTTCCTAATTCAACCTTATCGTTTTGATGCATCCTTTCCTCTAGGCACATAGTCTGTTGGAGCAAGAAGGGGCTCCAGAAGCCCTTTAATCTGACCCACTCACTCCTTTTTTAAATGTGCCTTTAAAAACATGAGGCACACTCTTTCAAACACCAGCAATGTGAAGCTACTCAGAAAGAAACCTAAAGTTTGCATTCAAACTTTACCTTTGTAAAATCCCCAACGAATCCCCCACAGCATTCTTCACTCCTTCCTTTCCAGGTTTCAGAAATTTTTCTTTGAAGGTATCAAATGCTTTAAAAGGCATTTTGAAAAGGGGGTATCTCCAAGCCGTCAACAGTCAGTCTCGGAAATTGTCATCCTTTCTCATTTCCAGCGTGGGGACCACTCTGCTTTCCTCGATGAACACCTGGAAGTCAGTTCTCATACAGGTGACTACTAAAAATCAAAAAGAAGATGAAACCCAGCCCAAATCTTTCAAGATGAGACAACACCCCCTGCCAAAAAAAGGAGAGGCCAAGTGGTGTGTGACTGGGAATTCGGCCCCTCTCAGCTCCCAGCTCAGCAGCAGCCTGTGGTGCTGTCTCAGGCAGCCACTCTCAGGCTGAGCGCAGCCCGGCTCCTGCCCTGGGCTGCAGCTGGAGAAGCTAAAGTGGGCTCCAGCCCACGAGGTGTCCCGAGACCAGCGACAGCATCTGCAGCCTATCTCCAGCCCCTCCTGCTGCTTCAGACCACATTCCCCTCCTGGCTCACTCGGCTCAGCTGTGGCTTTCCCTGAGCGATCCTTTCCAAGGTGATGCCATAGTAACCAGGACAATACCTGCCCCTCGGTCGCTGGGGCTTTTAATGCGCTCTCAGCCAGAGCAGGCACCCAGGGCGAAGTGTGTGAAACATTCACAAGTCCTCTGCTTTTCTGAGGTCTGGCCCCTAAGACAGGCTCTCAGCGACCACATTATGGCCTCTTATGCCTCTCGAGGGAGGCGTGAAACACTTTTTCTGTGAGACACCAGTATGGATGTGGTCCTTGGAGGAACACTTGCACTTGAGGAGGCTAAATGCAAAACCCAGGCCACAAACCTCTAGGAGGGCATTTATCTGGTCCTGACCAACAGCAGGATCACTCAAGGTGTGGTGTGTAAGCGCCACTGGGACCACTGAACTGAAGATGACTGAGCAGGTCCTAGAACCTGCTTACTGCTCTTCATCCTCAGGATAAGTCTAAATTCTTTACCATGGCACACAAGGCCCTCTGTGGGGCTCCAGCTTTGTTTCTTGTCACTCTGCTCTTTATGTCAGCTTTTCACTGAATTCAGCAAGCTCCCTATCACCTCTGAGGTTTACTCAGACTGTAGCCTCTGTCTGAATAACTCTCCTCACCCTTCATCTGGGAAATGCCGAGGGATTTTTTTTTTTTTTTTTTTTTGCGGTACGCGGGACTCACTGCTGTGGCCTCTTGTGGAGCACAGGCTCCGGACGCGCAGGCTCAGCGGCCATGGCTCACGGGCCCAGCCGCTCCGCAGCATGTGGGATCTTCCCGGACCGGGGCACGAACCCGTGTCCCCTGCATCGGCAGGCGGACTCCCAACCACTGCGCCACCAGGGAAGCCCGATGTCAAGGGATTCTTAAGTCTCACAGGGATATCTCTTCCTCTAGAAACCCTCATACACAAGGTTAGGTATCCCTCCTCTGTGCCCCCAAATCACCTGTCCTCCAAGCCAATAGGATCTGGAATGTAGTGGTATAACATAAATCATTGTTGGACTGGAGTAGAAATAGCACATGTTGCTCCCACATTGATAGGCGGCAGGATGACCCCTCCATAAATGATGCCGCCATGAAGAAACAGCCTTCATCCGTGAGGCTCCAGGGCTCCAACCCCCAGCCTGCAGGTGACTGACAAATCCTGTGCTTTAGACTCTCAGATTCCCCCAGAGTCATTTCCACAAGATGAGTCACTGCCCTCTGCAGTCGTAGTCCAAATCCTTCTCCAGGATTTGAATTTAGTTGATATAAATCAGAGCTGGATCCTCCGTAGGTTAAATACTACCACCAATAATAATAATTACTACGGCTAATATTTGTTGAGCTCTCTTTATGGTCCAAACTTTGTGTTAAGCATTGTTTACATATTATCACCATCTTCCCAACACTACTTTGTGAATAGTTAATTGTTATTTTCCCCAACTTCACTGACAGGAAACTGAGGCAAAGAGAGGTTAGACTTGCTATTTCAGATCCACACAGCCTGGCTCCATGCAGTCCTATTCTCATTCTCTGTCTCTGTCTTTGTCTCTGTCTCTCTCTCCTCCTCCTTTCTTCCACCCCCTCCCACCCCCACCACCCCATACTACCTCCTCTGACTTTACTGAGGTATATTTTGCATATCACACAATTCACCTATTTCAAGTGGACAATCAATGATTTTTAGTAAATTTACCATGTTGTGGAAGCATCACCATAAAGCACAAAGCAGGTAGAACATTTCTATCATCCCAAAAATATCCCTCATATTCACAGTTAGTCCCCATCTCCCATACCCCACACTGCCCCAGGCAACCATCAATCTTTCTCTCTCTATAGATTTGCCTTTACTAGACATTTCATATAAATGGCATCAACACACTATATACCATACAATATATTGTCTCTTGTGTCTAGCTTCTTCCATTTAATATGATGATTTTCAGGTTTGTCCATGTCACAACTTGTGTCAGTAGTTTGTGCCTCCTTTTCTGCTTTCTGTGGTATATTTTATTGTATGGACATACCACATTGTGTCTATCCATTGATGGACATTTAGGTTGCTTCCAATCTCTGGCTATTACGAATACAATTGTTAAGAACATTTGTGTGCAAATCTTGCGGTGGAAAAATCTTTTCATTTCTCTTGGGGAAATACCTAGGAGTGGAATTGGTGGACTGTATGGCAAGTATATGTTTAAACTTTTAAGAAACGGCCAAATTATTTTCCAAAGTGGCAGCACTATTTTACATTCCCAGTGGTATATATGAGGACTCCCATTTCTGACATCTTCACCAATATTTGTTGTCTGTTTTTTTTTTTTTTTGTATAACCATTCAAGTGGGTATAAAATGGTATCTCATTGTGGTTTTAATTTGCATTTCTCTGATGACTAATGGCATTGGCCATGTTGTCATGTGCTTATTTGTCACTGGTGTAACTTTTTTGGTAAAATTTCTATTCAAATATATTGCCCATTTTTAAAATGAGTTTTTTGCCTTATTATTGAGGTGTATGAGTGTATATTCTCAATACAAATTCTTTATCAGATAATACGACTTGCAAATATTGTCTCCCAGTCTACTGTTTGTCTTTTCATTTTCTTTATGCTACATTTTTAAGTGCAAATATTTTAAATTTTGATGGGGTGAGGTCCAATGTATCAGTTTTTGTTCTTACATAGACTGTGTCTTGTAAGAAATCTTTGCCTAAACTGAGGTCCTGAAGATTTTCTCCAATTTTTTTGTTTTCTAAAAGTTTAATTGTTTTAGCTCTGACATTTAAGTCTACGATCCATTTTGAGTTCATTTTTATGTATGGTATAAGGTAAACGTCTAAGTTCGTCTTTATTTTTTTGGCTGCGTTGGGTCTTCGTTGCTGTGCACAGGCTTTTTCTAGTTGTGGTGAGTGGGGGCTACTCTTCATTGCATTGCGTGGGCTTCTCATTGTTGTGGAGCACGGGCGCTGGCACATGGGCTTCAGTAGCTGCAGCACTCGGGTCCTAGAGCACGCAGGCTTCAGTAGTTGTGGCACATGGGCTTAGCTGCTCTGCAGCATGTAGGATCTTCCTGGACCAGGGAATGAAGCTGTGTCCCCTGCATTGGCAGGTGGATTCTTAACCACTGTGCCACTAGGGAAGCCCTAAGTTCATCTTTTTTCCATGTGGATATCCAGTTGTCCCAGCACCATTTGTTAGAAAGGCTATCCTTTCTCCAATGAATTGCCTTAGCACCCTTGTCAAAAATCAATGGAACAGAAATATAAAAAAATTATTTCTGGACTCTCAATTCTGTTCCATTGATCTTTATGTCTATCCTTCTACCAATATCACACTCTGTTGACTGTAGCTTTATAGAGTAAGTTTTGAAATTGGGAAATGAAAGTCCTCCAACTTTGTTCTTTTATTAAAATTGTTTTGGCTATTCTAAGTCTTTTGTGTTTCCATACAAATTTCAGAGGCAGTTTATCCGTTTCTGCAAAAAAAACCCTATCCAGCCCTGTGCTCTTAAAAGGATATTTTCAGGCCACCAACCTTGCCACCCACAACTCCTCAAGGCTGAGAATGCTAAGACTCCAGGAAATCACATATCTAATCACTCCACCAAAATGTCTTCACCTGTCTCCAAAAAGCTCAATCATTCATCAAATACAATCAAAATAAAATATGATAAACACACTCTCTTGCTATAGAAAACATCCCCTGGTGAAGCTTCTAACCCATTCCTCAATCCCCAGATAACTTTAGGTTACTAATCTCTTAGAGCACACAATGGAAGCACCACTAGGCAAAGACCATGTGAATCTCTTTTAAGGGTCAATGACTGCTAAGAGCACAAACCTTTTCTGCAGAATGTATTGCTCATGACACACACCTGAATCTGCAAAGGCTTTTTTGGCAGTGATTTAGATGTTTGATGATAATAATAACTAACACTTATGGAACACCCTCTAGGTGCCAAACTTTATGCACTTAACTCATTTAATCCCCACAACGACTCTCTCAGGTAGGTACTGTTTTTATACCATCTACAGATGAGGAAACTGAGGCACAGAGATTTTAAGTCAACTTACTCAAGTTCGCACAACTAGGAAACTAGGCAGAGACGGGATACAGACCCAGGAAGTCTGGCATCAGAGCCTGAACTCCTAACTTCTACACTAGAGCTGTGGATAATAGACACAAGAAAATATAAAGCCAGACTTTCCAGAACCGAGGCTCGTTTTATTCATTTGTTCCTTCTCATGAGGGCCTACTATGTGGCAGGCCTTTTTGAGACACTGGTGGTATAGGCTGAACTGTGATATTTCCCTTAAAGAAACAAACCAGAAAATGAATGAGTCCATATGGTGTGGTGAGTGACACATGTGGTAGTGGGAGCAAAGGTAAGGACACCTAAATTAGCTTCCTAAGGGAGTGGGAGAGGGTTTCCTAGAAGAGGGGATGATAGTATAAGCTTTCAGGGATGAAAGACCGAGGCAAACTAAAGAAAAAAAATGTAGGAGCAAAAACTTGCATGAGAGAGCATGGCGCCTGGGGGAAATTTGCATAGTTTCAGAGAGTTGGGTGAGTTTACCATGTGGTAGAAAACAAGACTGGAACAATGATCATGAGCTTTATATAATTTAGTGGTTACAGAAGAGCATTAAAATATGTGCTCCCCATCGCAAAGTAACAAATACAGCAAAGATAGATGAAATGATGTATGGAACAGAAACCCCTGAGGGCCATGAAACTAAAGCTTTGGTCTATGCTTAGGATATGTAGACTGAATATGCATTAGAAAAAAAATCCAGCCATTGCATGTACTCGATGACTTCCCATCATCCTGTACAGAAAGAGCCTCTTCCCTAGAGAAAATAAGATTGACTAGGACATCTTTAGAGGTGATTGCCCAGAACATAGCAATTCCTCATTCTCAGGGAACTTCCCTCTCACTACCACCCCCCCTCCTCTTTTATGGAGACAGGCCCCCCAAAGTCCTGTATATACTATAATGTTTCCCATCTCCTCTGACCACTGTTGGATGGACCAGCGATGGGCACCTGCACTGTGCTGAGCCAGTCAGATGCCAAATTTTCCTGTAATTTAACTTTAGAATTGAAAGACTGCTAGTTAATCTTTCAGAACCCTGGAACTGTAACTGGTGGGGGGAGGGTTACATTCACATTATGGACTGGAGATGGAGAGAACAATGGTCTGGCAAAGAGTAAGAGGAACGAAACACAATGAAACTTTAGCAGTCTGAGGATGTCTGTTTCTAATGGCCTTCCAATTCCTGTTTGTCTAGACCCAGCTGTCCTACCCTTGGGTTTCATGAATTACCCAATCCTTATAACAAATTGCCCTCCTTTTAGTTTACTCTAGCTAAGATAGTTTCTGCTCCTCACTGATAATCTTGACTTTATCAATGATTTAAAACCCAAGAGATAAAAAACCCAAAGGTTTTTGCTCTGGCTCTATTAGATGAGAAATAAAGATAAGAATGACAGTTTACCTCTTATTAGAAATATTGAAAGTCAGAAGACAATGGAATAATCTCTTTAAAAAATAGGGAAAAAATTGTCAACCTAAAATTATATACCCAGTGAAAATACTAATAAAAATTTAAAGTAAAATAAAAACATTTATTTGATATTTAGTCCTGAAATCCTGAAATGCCAATAGTGCCTGTACCTAACACCATGAGGGCAAGCCTGACCGTCCAGTTCAATTTTAGGTAGGACTCCAGTCTCCCAACAGTGAAAAAAGTGGATCTCATAAGCTGGTTGTTAGCCAAGTCATTCTAATCTACATAGACAAAAAAAAAAAAAAATATATATATATATATATATATATGTGTGTGTGTTTCTGTGTGTGTGTGTGTATGTATATATATACACATATATATATAATTTGCTCAAGAAAATAGTTTCATCAAACCCAATCAAAGTGTTAGGTGGAGAATTTTAAACAGGCTCAAAGCTAATGACCTAATTATTCACCTTTTAGGATAAGAAACTTCATAAGGAAACAGAGGTAATGAAGAAAATTAATCTTTCTGAGGCTCCTTCTCTCCTGAATTCTGTGGCAGCTTTTCTGAGCCCCATTCTACACCCCAATTCCATACTCCTCTCCCCCTGTCCACAGAACATACTAATACCAACATAAAACTTTCTATTTTATCCAGTATTTCTCCCAATCCTTTAAAATTTGTATATTGTTGATAACTATCATTAGTACTAATCTGAATGTATATAAAACTTGATTTTTTTCACTGCACTTCTATTTTTGACATTCTTTTATTAATAGTCAAATGTGCATACAGCACGTTCAAGTATCTCATTTGATTCTCCCAACCACCTGTGTAACAAATAATCAGGTAGAGAAACCAAGACTCAATTTTGCCCAAGGTAACCTGGCCAGTAGAATGTGGAGATTGGGGACTAGGTCCTTAAGCCCATTTCCTGAGCTTGTGTCACCACAATACACAGTACATTGTGATCCTATAAGTCCCACTTTGGGTACTAAAGACTGCCTTTAACATAACAATTCAGGAAAGATGTATTCAGAATCCTTGTGTCTTTAAAAATGTCACTGAGCACCTAATTACTGTCGGCCCTCCATATCTATGGGTTCTGCATCTGTGGACACAGAGGGCCAATAAGGGACTTGAGCGTCCCAGAGTTTGGCATCCTGTGGGGGTTACGGGGGGGGGGGATGGCTAGAACCCCCCCACACACAGATACAGAGGTGTGACTGTATAGGTAAGCTTGTGATAGTAAGAGTGAAATTTTTAGAAATAAAACAGGGCGCTGTTTTTTGAGATTACATACTAATCTGTTTGCTTTCACTAAAAAGTTCCACCAAAAAATAGGGCAAACCAATAGCAAAATAAAGAGAATTTAACATATAACACTGACGTACCAGCCCCTGGATTAAAATTGCCACCATCCACCCAAGGCTGATAATAAGACCACCCTTCTAAGGGGAGGCTAATGGGTACCTTTATCCCATTCTGCAGTCATTGCTTCCTTATCTGTCTTGCTGACTTGAGTTTCCTGATCTCATTTCATACTCACAAGGGAGAATGAAAAACTAGAAATGACAAAGTAGAATGACCAAACAGATATTATCTCCATTTTACATATTAGGAAACTGAGGCTCAAACTCAAGAAGTTACACAGTCACATAGTTTTTGGTGACATAGCTACAAAGTTACATAGTTTTTTGGTGGAGCCAGGATTTAAACCAATTAATTACAAATGCTCACTTCATTATACAGCACTGTTTCCAGCCCACAATAAAGCATAGTTAGTCCCATTACATTTCAGCTCACTGTGAGCTGGGTACTGGAATTCAATTAATTTGGCTCTATGTTCCTAAGTTATAGGAACATAATTTTATACCATTATTAAATAAATGTCTCTATAATTCTTTGCAAACATAAGGTTGCCTACATGGACACCCTAGAAACATATCAAGTTCTATTTTCAGTTCATCAATGTAACTGCTTAAATATTTTTCCCAATTAATGAAAATTAAAATTTTTCCCAATGAAAAACATTTCCCAAATTTTCCCTATTAATGAAAACTTTAAATAAAGTCAAACAATCAAAATATGGAAATATAGGATGTCTTTACACAGCATGGAATAATTTGAGTATTTTGTATTTTTCATAGAAGAATTTACATGAATTCCTTATATTTATGAAACACTTTAACTTCACTCTTCACTGCTCCTTTGAGGTTATAAGTACCTAGAGAATGAGGTTGGACAGACTATTCCACTTTACTGTTGAAACCAACGGGCATGGAGAAGACAAGTGTTGTATTTAGTTTTTTTGAGGTTTGGGGCAGAACTGAAGCAGAAATCACACCCATCTACTCATCTTCTGGCTGTCACTGGCTGCCTTTAACAAATTATTAACCTTTTATCTTGGAGAATCCCACTCCCAGAGCCCCCAGCACAAGACACTTGATGATCAATTTTTGAGCCTGTTTTCTTGCTATAAAGATAATTTATTTTTCTTTAATGTGTTACTTCCTGTTATATATTGGTATAGATTGGCTCAGACAGTCTGAAATCCTTACTTCTGAGTAACTGGGGAACTACTGGTTCATTTCATCCAGTATTATTACAGTGTGGAAATATGTTCCAGTTTTGCTTTACACACCATGAAAGTTGACTTAAAAATAAAAAGATTCAAGGATATCTTAGATTGTGTCCAAGATAGAACACAGAAAATCTGATAATTTAATAAATGCAGTTGGACAATAATAAAGAAACCTGAAAATGTGAGAGAAAGTCAAGATCAGAGAGTATATTTTGGAGGATTTTTCACCACCTTAATTTTTCTTGAAAGCACAAATGAAATCCAGAGTGTCCAGATAATTTCAATACATGAAGTAGAGAACAGGGTTCACATATCTAGGGCATCAAGAATCAAGATGGAACAAACCTACACACCTTCGACAAGTATTTCCTGTGAGGTCCTATCCTTCTCATAGACTCAATATTACAAGCCAGACATCAATCTATCACAGTCTGTCAGTTTTCAAAAACGTACATGAAAAGGAGCTAATGTAATGGACTATTACTTGGGAGATAGTGACATCTCCTGGTGGTTTATAGACTAAATTTATTCATGCCAGACATTTTTTCCCCCAGAAGCCAGCCACTGTTTTACGTTTTTATTTTATTTTTCGGGATCTTTGTTCCCTGGCCACAGATTGAACCCGAACCCTGGCAGTGAAAGAGCGGAGTCCTAACCACTGGACTGCTAGGGAATCCACCAGCCACTGTTTTAAAGTAGGTTTATTAAACTCACACGTGTGGATTCTTAAATTTCTGAAATGTTCAACGAAGCATAAATTACTTTAAAAATAACAATATTCCTCACTTATTTTATTCCTTGTGTTGGTGTCATCCCTGGCTTACTCAGCCAACATTAATTCCACTTTTCCTGGTCATCAAGTCATTTGACCAGACTTTCCTTAATTCAAGCAATTTTCATGTAATCTCAGAATTCAAAAGGACCTTGGGAGTTACCTACCCTAATCCTTTCCCCAGTGTGTCCAGCTTAATTTGGGAAAATGTAATTCCTAACTAATCATTTGATAGCATCAAAAACAATTTTTAAAAGGCTCCCTGCAAGGTTGAGCTCAGGGCCCATCTCCTCTAAAGAAGTCTTCCCCACTCCCCTAGCCTAGGTTGGCCGTCCCTCCTATGTTAAGATTTATCACAGCATATACCACACTGTCCTGTAATTGTCAGCTTACTCAGCTACCTTTTATAACCACAGTGCAAATTCCTTAATGACATGGCCTACATCTCATTACTATTTGTGTCCCAAGAATCTCATAGCCTATAACCTATTTTTGGCTTGTTTTTTGAAGAATAAACGTATTCAAATCACGCACGGTGAGGTATCTGCTCTTCATTCAAGTGGATATTATTTTAGAGGCCTATGTCCATCATAAGCCAGGTGAAGATATCTATCGAGTACTTACAGTATGTCAGGAGCCTTGTCAGGTGCTTCACACACGTTTATTTCATTTAATCCCAATGAGTCTGTAAGACGTGATCCTCATTTTATAGCTGAGAAAACTTATTCTGGTCAGTTGGTGAAAGAGACAAGATTTAAACTCATTCATTCCATATACTTATTTACACTTTACCTTGTTCCAAAATGAGAATTTCTAAGAACATAATACAAAACTTTTTTTTAAATGGAAATCAGAGCAAAGGAGAAATAAGAATTTTAAAAATCAGATAAAGCCAGAAGTACTGAACAATGCATACTATTAATGTCCTATATATTTGCTACAGATGGACTGCAAATTTGCCTGAACCTCCAAGCTGTTAATATGTGATTTGCTCCATTACTCAGACTTTAAAAGATAAGGGCAAACTAGTTGCTTAGAAGCACATTTACTCCTGATCTGAAACCTGAAGTTTCTCCTGTGGATCCTCAAAGAAACTATTTTATGTTAGAGTGAACTAGCGTCATCCTTGGCATGAATATGTTTCATAATACAGCCCAAAGCCAAGTGCAGTAACAGAAACTGATGTGTGGCCAAAATAACGCAACCCAGGCACAAAGGTCTCCACAGTGGTTTTAATTTCATTCAGAATTTCTAAAGAAATGGATGGATTACTCAATTTTGGGCCTCCTCCATAAAACTTTCTCAAAAATGAGGTTTTGAATGTTGGGCAATAGAGAGTTAAATGTTGTTCTCTGACAAGTATCTGGGTACAGATATCATTGCTGATTAGGGGCAGGTCTGTATGATCACTGGAGCTGGGGATAAAGATGCCATCCCCTTCTGACACTGGAGCAGTCTAAGGAGAATACCACTCAGTGAGAGGCCTTTCCATCTCTCCACAAAAGTGATCTTAAGAGCACCCACTGTTAGAGACAAGATTTTCTTAAAAACTATTTTGGATCTGTTCCAACTGAACAAACGTGTAAAGCAACCCATCCCACCTCCATAGAGCATAAATGCTATAATTTTAGCTTGAAATTTCCAAAAAAATATGCCCCCCACCAAACCCCAACTTTATCTGGCTCCAAAGTCCATGCACTCTATGCTCCTAATACGCCCGTGGACAAGCCCCACATTTGACTTTTGTTTGATCATTGCATTTAGTAAAACTGGCAGGGACTCGGAAGGGACCTGCATGAATGCTGATTCCTACATGCAAACTCTGGACATTAGAGTCTCATTCTCATATGAAAGCCAAGGCCACCACAGAAAGAACATATATCCAAAATACAGGAAAAAAAAAAGAAAGATGAAAATTGGAACTGCTCAAATAGGTATAGAGTAGCTAAATTATATTTCCACTCAAGGCACATTTCAAAAGAACTTTTAGAAAGGAAAGTTTTAATCTAGGCTACATATATACAATTCCCTATAGCTTTTGTTAGCAGCACATATATCCATCCTATGGCCCCATTTTTTTTTTTTTGGACAATTTTTTATTTTTTACTGAGGTAAAATTGGTTTATAACATATCAGTTTCAGGTGTAAAACTTAATAATTCAATTATTGTATGCACTAAAAAATAATTACAATAATAAGCCTAGTTAATATGTGTCACATTACAATTGACCACCTTCACCCATTTTGCCCAACTACCCCAATCCACTTCCCCTCCGATAACCACCAATCTGTTCTCTGTGAGTTTTGTTTTCTTTTTTCCTTTGTCTTTTAGGTTCCACATAAAAGTGAAATCATACTTGTATTTGTCTTTGTCTGACTTATTTCATATTGGCCCCATTTTTAAATGGCTTAATAGACTGAGGAGTCTTATCAGTGAAGGTAAGCTTAGGAGACAAAACCAGACATTTGAACAGGGAAATTTTAATGAATTGTCAACTAGTAGAAGTTACTAGTCCTTTTATGCCTTTAAAAGGCATAAAAAAGGACTCTAAGGAATTCAGAAGTAGCAGTTGCAAAAAAAAAAAAAAAAAAAAGGCAGCTACTACCTCTAGGCTAGGAGAAAGTAAAAAGAAAATTAAGGAACTAAAGACTAGGATAGGCTCTCTTCCCCACTCCAATCCCTCAAGCTGAGCGCCTTCTTTGGCGAAGGCGTGGTTTCCACAGGTACATTCAGCCACCAGTGGTGAAGACATTTGTCAGAGGGCCAGAGTGGGAGACAGCTGCTTGAGGGAGTGGCCGAAAGCAGCCCACTGGAGCTGCTCCCAAGTGGGGGAGTGTGACTGAGGCACAGCTGGGGTCCTCTGCTGGGGCTGCCGGGCTCCTGCAGTGAACAAAAATGGAGAAGCAGAATCCAGAAGTGACTTCTTACTGCTATTGCTTTGCAGTGCCACTTCAGGACCCTCTACCGACGAAGCCTAACATTCTGCCAAGCAGGCAAGGGAGATGCGTTTACAGGATCCAGCTCGAGTATCACAAAGCAGGGCAGAGAAGGATGGATTTGGAGCTGGGAGACAGTAAACTGATAACTGCCAGAGTTCACTCTTTTGGCGTCTGACCTTCCATATATACCTACATATCTAACACAGGAGCTACTGGCCACACGTGGCTATCAAGTACTCAAAATGTGACCAGCCTGAATTGATATGTCCTAAGTGTAAAATATACACTGGATCTCAAGACTAAGTACAAAAAAGAACGTAAAATATATCATTAAATTTTGTATCAATTCATGTTGAAAAGATATTTTGGCTCTATTACGTTAAACAAAATATATTATTACAATTAATTTCATCCATTTTTACTTTTTTTTTTTTTTTTTTTGCAGTACGCGGGCCTCTCACTGTTGTGGCCTCTCCCGTTGCAGAACAACAGGCTGCGGACGCGCAGACTCAGCGGCCATGGCTCACGGGCGCAGCTGCTCCGCGGCATGGGGGATCTTCCCGGACCGGGGCATGAACCCGCGTCCCCTGCATCGGCAGGCAGACTCTCAACCACTGCGCCACCGGGAAGCCCCATTTTTATTTTTTAATGTGGTTACTAGGAAATTTTAAATTACGTATGTGTTCTGCACTCCAGGTAGTTAAGTCCTCTCTGAGTGGCTAGAGCAACTTGGCTGCTTTGGATAGAAGTTTCTAATATCTAACAAGCTCCATTTTGGTGAAATGGCTTTTTCCACTATGCCACCCCCTCCTCAAGGTTATATGTTTTAATTCTACTACATGTCTGGGTACTGCAAGCACTGCTAACCTGGCTCCCCCAACCATCTCATCCACAATTCAGAGAAACAGCCCAGAGGCTGATTTTGACCACGAACATTTCCGTTCTATCATCTCCCTCTTCCTCTTCAATGCCAATTTTTCCAATGTAAATATATTTATGGTACCAAATAAGTACTGAACACATAATACTTACTATATTAAACCATTTTGACAAAAGCAACTCCAGAATTCATACAATAAAAGATATAATGGTAGAAAGCATGGGATTGCAGATCAGGAAAAAAAAAAAAAAAATCTAGCTTCTATTCCTGGCTCTAACTTTCTTGGGTTAGGGCATGTAAATCTCTGACCCTCTGTTTCTACATCTGCATGGTGTTGAATTATTTCAGTTTTACTCAAACTATATCATGAAGTCTTGTTAGGGATTGTAACCAGTTTTTTTTTTTTTTAATTAGTAGGATATAATAAAAAAAACAGAGTACACTATATGTATCAAAGATTTTCTGAAACTTTTGTTTCAGGTATAAATTTCATATACTGGGTTTGTAATGTAAGATATATTTCTTACTGAGTGTCACAGTTATAGCTTGAAAGCCAGCAACATAAATAATCTCTTAAGATCCTATACAGTTTGAATTCTTACAGATTTGTTTTGTTCTAAAATTATTTCAAGACCAGTAAATAACAAAGCATGAAATCACAACTTAATGTGGAAAGTTTCGTCAAAGCCGAAATTTATTTGGTGCATACTCTGTGCTTGCTATCAGGTACTTTCACATATACCTTTTCCTTTAATATGTAAAAGCAACCATGTGAGGTATTTTACAGGTTAAAAAACAATAACAAAAACCTATTTCCTTAACTTATTCAGGTGAAAAGAGGGTTATAAGCGTTCCAAAATAAAAACAAAACAAAACAAACAAACCCCAGCCAAGTACACAGTCTATTTCCATTTCTTTTTATGCATCCTCTAAATATATCACACACTTTAGCATTAGGAGAATAAAGAACCAATTCAAATAAAAGGGAATCTTTCTTGTAATTTTTGTCTACAGGTGCTTTTTAAGCTACTAACTTTCTACTCTAAGCCCAAGGGACTTAAAATGCCGTCAATATCTACCATAATTTTAAGGTGATCTATCTAGTACTTTGAAAATTTTGTTCACAGAGAGATACAAGCCTAAAAATAGCACTATTTTTTAGAGGCAGTTTCACAACAGAAAAAGGCAATGGTAACAGTTCGAGTGATAGAAATGATTTAAACAAAATACCTTCAAGAAAGTAAGAAAAAAGTGTAGAAAATCTTCTAAAAATGTAGCATCGTTACCTCAATGAATGAACAAATTTCAAGATGTGAAAATTACCTAAGAATCACATATTTTTTCAAATAATCTATTTTTATATTTAGAAGTTCAAATTATATAAATTGTTCTATTAAGTTTTCCTTCTAATTAGGAGTTCAACACTGACAAAGTTATTTTACAAAATAAAAAGCAATTTCCTAATGAACTGTGACTACTGAATTGTTACAAAGAAAAATTCTTCAATGTTAAGCAGTTTTATTCCTTATGTAAACTTTTCTCAAGATAGATATTGTGTTACGAACGAGACAAATAATCAGGTGCAGGTATGAATGTATTTGCCAAAAACATCTGCTCTTCCTACTGCTTTTCATTTCTTGGAAAAGTTTCTTTAGCATTCCTATCAGTCCTTCTCCTAAAACCATGTAACAAAATACAGCTCATACAGAAACCAGATGTTAAGCTGACTTTTTATTTTTTAACATACCCTCTTATTGAATGCTGCCAGCAATATTATCAACTTACATTTTATAATCAAGTACTGTATGTTCAGTGTGTGTATACGTATTTTTTCAATGAATAAATGTAGTGTCAGCACACTAAACTTCATATGACTTATTTTAAATGATTGCTGGTTTCAGATAATTAAAAACCACAAACTCTATGGCTGCGATTATAATACATTTATAGTTCTCTGAAAGATCAGTTTAAAGTTATAACATGATGGAATATAACGAAATACAAATGACATCTATAGCATAAGATTCCATGGTTGACTAATCAGCAAATCAAAGAAAAATATCAGAGAAAGGCCTTGAAAAAGAAAGCATGTTTCCTGTTAGAAGAATTTATTCTTTCTTTCCTAAAAATGGCTAATTATGGACATAAAAATGTTTGAACAAAGGGTCCTGAAATTCCTAGAGAAGATTTAAACTTCAGATGCAGTAACTGACGAAGTCAGACGTTATCATAACGTATCAAGCTGAAAATTAATCTTTTAGTAGCCAGAAGATACAAGTGCTCATTTTTAGAGAAGTAAAGTTTATTACATTTGAAACAATACAGCAGAAATCTCAAAAGTATACTCATTAAATATAGTTTAATTCTTACAAATCTCCTTTTGAAAATGCAATTCATATGTGCTGCAACCTCAGAAGTTTGAATTCAAAATGAAATATGGAGGCAGTAGTCAGGGAAAGCACATCAGAGGGCTTTGTCAAATATCTGTACAAATCAGTACCTACCTCTTCTGTCTGTGATACAGTAGGAAAAAAAGTGATTCTAAACATATCCAAGTAAATGCAGAAAAAAACATTACTATTTGAGGCAGACCATGCTAAAATATAATTTACAATGATTAGTTTGCATTTATGATAGTTAATAATGCCTTAGTTTGAACCAATGAAATCAAGGTTAAGTTAAATTCTGCAGTATTTGCTCAGTCTTTTGCACTAAACATTAGTTCATCTAAGAAGTAATAAGATTGGAAAAGCAAATGACCCGATCCTTTTCGTTAGGCTTATCATTTTCTCACTCAGTCACACTAAATGCAAACAAATCAATACAGCATCAAGATTTTTCACACAGTAAAAATGAAGACTAATGACTTGTGAAGGCAGACTGTGTACCATGTAGTATTTAACAGATGAAACTTGCAATTACCATCAACTCAATTTTTTAAATAACACCAAGATTTACAAGCCAAAATAAACATTTGATTTAAAAATTCTGCTATTCAAGATACTCAGGTGTCTTTTTTTCTCATTGAGATTGATATGGGTTGGGTCTTTTAAAAACCTGAAGAGGAGTTGGTAAGAGGAAAAAAATCCTCAAGGCTTTAAAAACCTCAACTGTTAAAGAGTCCATACAACTACTATGCTGGCATGACAACAGGTTTTTTTCTGTCAGACAAGACCATTTACTTTCCCACAGAAGTACTTCCTCCAAGCCAATTATATAGATGTAAATCAGCTTACCCATGATTAAAACTGAAGTGATCCTTCAAAAACAGGAGCATGACACCTCACCCAAAAAGATCTTTTAAGTCACTGCTAGCTGAACTGCTACTGGTCATAGTAGGTGGCGGCTGTGCAAAGTTCTGCGGGTTAAAGAAAGGATTAGTCTGCACACCGAAGGCAGACTGTCCTATCATGCGGGTCTGTGCTCCCATTACCGAACTGCCCACACCTGGAGACCCTTGAGCAGGCACAAACTGATTAAGCCACTGATTTGGTTTCTGTTGTGATAACTGGTTCATGCTAACTTTGGGTTTCTGAGGGCCAAAGAGATTATTAAGAGCAGACATATCTGTGGGTCTCTGCTGAGTCAGCTTCGTACCAGCAGGAGGAACACTCACAGCACTGAAGTTTGGCAAAGTGGAAGGTGTTCCCAATGTCATCTTGGCCACTCCAGGTGCGCTTGGACTGCTGAAGAAGTTCTGGTTTGTATTAACTGGCACATTGAATCCTGAAGTCTGAAAGCCCATGTTGGCATTTAGGCCATTTGTTAAATTTCTCTTTGTATTATCAATTGGTGTAGAAAACATCATACCAAGGCCCGTGGAAGGAACAGAAGTGAAGGTACTTGAAGAAGAAATTTTAGGGGTACTAACAGAAAGACTGGTCAAAGATGACATATTATCCATCAATGTGTCTGTCAGGTCCTTAGTCTGAAAAATATGAGGAAATTACTTTATCTCCAAGAATTCCAAATTACTTAAAAATTAGTAAACATTTGATAAATTTTATTATAAAGGACAGTTAAAATTAAGCTCAATAGTCTACACTAAGACAGCAAACCACAGCTCACAGGCCAAATCCAGCCTGCCACATATTTTTGTAAGGCTTTTTAAGCATGAACATTTGTAATCAATCTGATGATAGGGAACCCAACTCTGAACTCCAATTAAATGAAATGTTGTCTCCCTCGCTGCACCTCCACCAAAAAACAGAATTGCATTTTCTCATTAGATCTGTATTACAGACAAGGATACTCTATTATTTTTGTATTTTGAATTTCATCAAAAGTTTGTGGAAATTTATTTTCTCTATTCTAAGTACCTACAAAATACTTTATTTTTGCCTCTTGGCTCACAAAGATTTTTCCCAGAGGAAGAAATTTAATGATTAAGAGGCAACAACAACAACAAAAAAATAATTTAAAGAAAGCTTCTAAGATAAAGTAATTTCTGCAATCAGCAATAGTGTAAACTTTCTATCAGCAGAGACCTTAATCACTGCTCTAACACCAGCACCTAGAACACTGCCTGGACCATAGCAGGAAATAAATACTGGTCAGGACAT